AAAAGGAGTTTAGTTAAAACAATGTTTTTAGCTTGCCAATTCAACAGTGAACCCACATATCCATGCACCCCTCCTGGCCTTTAAGTTAGTGTGGAATATCAGTTGTTTTATTTTTGTAAGGAACTGGCTAAAGTGTGTCAAACACTGCCCTCTCCTGCCTGAAATCAGAAGTGCTTAATTATGGGTTTACATGCTAGAGAGAGACAGTTAGTTATCAACGCTAGTCTCAAGTTAGGAAGAAGGCAGGGTAGATTTGTACCTTATAGGCTAACTATATGAGAGATATAGCATGAGCTTTTGTGAGCCTGGCCTCACAGCATCAGATACTGTAAACTCAGGGTTGTGAAAGCTTATACTATTACATCTCTGATTTAGTCTATAAAGCGCAAATAGATCCTGACTCTTAAATGCTAGGTCTTTGTTGCAGCTTCTTGGATGCTGTGACGTTGCAAGTGGGTGATGTGCAGAGCAGTGGCAGCAACAAAACCTGAGGCGTCTGGATATATTTATTTACATTTCTGTCTTAAAGATGGCAATGATAATTAAGCTTCACACCACTGCTATGAGAAGGGGCGGGGGGCATGCATTCACAAACGAACCTGCAGAGCCTCTGATGTTAAGAGACTTACAGAAAGTGATTCACTGAGTGCGTCTACACATGCCCCTATGGCACTATTGTTACTGCACCGTCATTTAGTACTTCCTAAAGAAGTACCAAGTGACGGCTCAGTAACAGCCATTACTGCACTGTGCTGGTGGCACACGGTTATTTTTAGCCGCTATGTTGCTGTAGCAACGCATTATAGCGAGGGAGCACATCACTACAGCAACATAGCTGCAGCATCACAGTTTGTGCCCGCCGACGCTACGTCACTGTAGTGCATTGCTACAGGACATAGCGTCTCATGTAGATGCGCTCACTGAGACCAGGAGGGCCAGGAACAGAACCCGGGAGTGCAGTAACTTGCATCAGTCTCTAAATTGCATTGCTGATGTGGGCCTTTTTTGTACAAGAAAACACACAGGCTCAACGCAACTTATTTTAAGAAATTAGACTATGGTGAAGCAACTTAAGAATTTAAGCCTGTTTTAGTTTTTGCTTATACTGTCGTGTTTTAGCTTGCATATCACTGTCCTCCACTGCCTAAAATTTACTATGTTCACAGATGTTAATGGCATTTTGGGGAGGGGGGAAAGAATCAAAGAATGATGCCAAACAGTGAATCCAGCCTACATGTTAAATGGACTTCAGTTGTGGAAATTCTGATTTTGATTCAAATCCTGGATTCATGCAGCCTAACTCTTACATTCACATATGCCAGTATGTATAGAATTTGTGACTACCATCCCCAAGAATAGAGTGAATTGGATATTAAAATAATTCAGATGATCAGTCATGTCAATAAGGGGGAGAGATTGTTCTGGGGGCTATATAGGCTGTTCTTAACACTTTTCACTGACTCTTACTTACAGTTGTGGTGTTAGTGATGGGATGATTGCACTATGCACTTTATTGGATGTGGGGAGAAAGGAAAGCTTTACTTTCATCGGAACTTGGATAACTGGAAAAGCCTTGTAAGTTAGAGACAGTCTTTTGCATTCAAATCTCCTGGTAACTAAAAGCAACATCTTCCATTGTATTTGGCTTCCTTGTGCTAAAGTGTGTGTAGTCAAGGTGCAAAAATGGCTGAACTTGTCTAGAGAAGATGATTCTTATTGTTCGGCAATCACTTATCTGGCTGATCTGTACCACTGTTCTTAAGTGTGTGTGTTTTTACCAGCACCCTTACTTTTACCAAAGGAAAGTATTTCAGGTCCTTCCTACCTTTGTACCAGAGGCGCAGTATCCATGTTTAGGGGCTTCTAATGAAATGCTAGACTACTAAAGCATTTGAAGAAATAAATGGTCATCCTGTCACTCTGCAAGTATAAGGAATAAGCTGGGGCCCAGGCTAATGCAGGGTGGTGGTCGGTGGAAGCTTGCAGCTTTAGAGCAGCTCCATTTAGGCCTCCTTCCCTCCCAACTTACCTTTTCAGCCTCCTGGGGAACATCTGTCCCCATCAACTCCATTTCCCCCCTGAATCTTTCAAGACTTTGTTCCCCCCTCAGTCTGGCCTACCTAGCCCAGCCCAGCCCAGCCCACCTTATTGGTCTCTCCTGGCATCTTTCCTCCTCATTTCATTGCCAGCAAGATACTGGGACAGGAAGATAAGTAGGACCCAGCAGCTCTACACAGGATAAGGAAGGCTGTTAAAGAGTGAAGAGGAAAGGCAGGGCCCTGAGGTCATCCAAGGCCTCTGCTGTGGTGTTGGGGGAGGTGAGAGAGATCCCAAGTGCACTTTTATGCTTAATACTGGAAGTAAGAAGATGGAGAACAGTTCTTCAGGCCCTGTCCAGCCACTGCCACAGGCTGAAAGCAGCTGCTCTAGAAGTGACAAGTGCTGCCTCAGCATGAGTCCCAAGTGTAGCAAGGACTCCCATACCCCTGCTGACCCTTGGCTGGTTTCACTTTGTTGGGACTCTTGCAGCTAAGTATAAGTTGAAGTAGCCTTCAAGCTGCTTTCCACAGTGCAAGGCAAAGGACCATAAAGGGTGTGTCTACATGTTCATTAATGTGCTGTAGTTACTGTGCATTAAGTTTAGTACTTGTACAACCAAGTACTAATTTAACGTGCAGTAGCACAGGCACATGCCTTTTTAATGCCCCTACTGTGCAGTAGCCTAATAGTACTGAGCAGTGGCGTATTAACACTGTTTCTGCTGTGACACACTACTGCACAGTACTATTAGGCTACTGTGCATTTAACATCTTGTGTAGATGTGCCCAAAGAGCAGTAATAGGCCCAGGCCAGTTCAGGGAAAGGCTCCAGACCCAGTGTACAGGACTTTCTGGCTTACAACCTGTATATTTTTACATCTGTCCCTTGCTGCTGAAATGACCTTGGGCCCATGAAAGTTCACACTGTACATGTCTGATTAAGTCAGTCTATACAGCGCAACTCTATCCTGCCTTCTGCCTGACTTCAGATTAACTCCACCAACTACCTCTTTCTGAATCCTTCAGACATACTGGACCTGTGTGCTTTCTTCAGTGTGTGGGGGTCCCTCCTGGGAGATGCATCTCTGTACAGCAGAAGCGGAGCTCCCTGTGGGTGCATTTGAGTGCACAGCACATTTTACCAAAACCGTCCTCTGGGCATGGAGAAGTATCAGCTGGAGAAGGCCAAGTACTGCAGCAGTGCATAAGGAAGCAGAGTCTCTAATGGAAACTGCAACCTGAAGCAGGAGCTTCATGCTGTTATACATACATGGTGCATTCACTAGTGATGTTATTAGCTGTTCCCTCTCCATTCCCCTATGGATCAGCAATCACTGCCCTCCAGGACCACTGTGCTTCCTCTCTCCCCTGCTCCCCACAGGTACTGGCAGGGGGCAAAGGTCTCTCCATCCTTCAGGGAACTCTTATTTGTGAGCACTGATAGCAGCCCTGCTCCTGCAAGAAGCATCTGAGCCCAGTGTGAATACTGAAGCCGTTGTGTCCATCTGTCTTGCTCCCTGTCAGCAGTGAGTCCGCCCATGTCTTCAGACAGTTTCACTGGTTGGCACCCACAGGCTCCCTCAACTCCTCCTTCAGTGGGGAGTGGGCACTGGCCAGTGTGCTCTGTTTGGCATCCACTTCCAATGCCCTAGTTATTAATGACTTTACTCCTGTTCCTGTTTTCGCTCTTGTTGTCCCAAGAACTTAGTTGATGTGTGCCCAGTGGCCTCCTTCTCAAGGGAGACTTGTAGTGTCTTGTGATGGGCCCAGTCCCACAATCCTTTTTTGGCACATCAAATAGGCCTGTCAGCAGCCAGCGTGGTTCAGCACGTCACGGCGAGCTGTGCTGCTGTACTTCCCCTGCTGCCTACAGGCACACTCCCCGCAGCTGTGGTGCATGAAAACAGCTCCTGCAGCACGGCTCTGACCCCACATTCAGGTTGTTTTGCCCCTCTGTAGCTGGAGCACATCCCCCCACAGAGCGCTTTGCCACTGCCTCTGTCCAGCCCCTGCCTGCAGGAGTCGCTGCTGCCCCTCGGGTATCCTCTGCCAGCAGCCACCAGCCAAACGTGAAGGATGCCCAGTGTGCCCAGGTCCTTAAATATGAAATTATCATATTGGAAGCTCAAAATGATAGCATTTGCTAGAAAACTGTTGCACACTGAAAAACTATGCAAACAAGTCTTCTTCTTTACCTTGTATTGCTCACCGTAAGTCACGAGTGAGCGAGAACTGGGTCCAAGTTGAAGCCTTTCTTTAGTTCGCAGCAAGCGGTCATGAGAAAGCGCTGACAGCAAAGCCAGGAGTTAGATAAGGCTCCCTGAGAGTGACTTGGGTTTTGCATACACTGCATCAATTAGCAGCCCCAAAAACTATCCACACTTTGAATACTTCTACTATTATTGATCATCAGGGATCCTGGTTAAAAAAACAAAACAAAACCAATTTTCCAATTTAAAAAATGTAACCCAAAATCCACATTTTTCCGTGATTAAAATGAAATGCCTATCTATCTATCTAGGTGTTTCATTTTATATAAAGTAAAAAAAGGAAAAAGAGAGAGTAAAAAAGGAAACGGAAAAGAGTAAAAGAAGATAAAGGAAAAAGTAAAAAAAAGGAAAATAAAAAAATAAGGAAAAAAGAGGGTTTTTTTGTTTGTTTGTTTTTTAAAGTAGCGTTTCATTTTAATCACGGGAAAATTTGGATTTGGGGTTCGTTTTTTAATGCGAAAATTGGGGATCCTTTGCATCAGAAAACCAGGCTCCCTGTTGCTCGCGCAAGGGTTGCAATGATCGCGCACCTGACAAACCCGTGGACGCCACTCTCTGGCCCGCCCGCACGGCTTATTCCCCCTCCCCACGCTCCGTGCAACATAAAGACGCCCCTCCCGGGGCCAGCCGGCTAGCCCCGCGGCTATCTGCGCCCGCCCGCGGCGCCTCCCGTCTCGTCCCGTCTGGCCGCAGTTCGCGCGTGGCGGTGACGGGGCGGAAGGGGCGGGCTCGAAGCGGTAGCGGCGCAAGATGGCGGCCACCACGGGCTCGGGTGA